GGAGAAAAGGTGTTCTTTCGTTGGCTAAGCTCCTTGGAGTAGAAGTGTTCTTTTGTTAGGGCTCAAAAAAAGGAATTAGATGGATACAAAGGGGGAATCAAACATATATAAAAACTTTATCTTGCCTAAACTAAAAACTAAGGTAGAATAGATGATGTAACATATATAAAAAAGAGTTTCCTTTTTTTTGGCCAAAAGAATAAAAAGTTAGGGAGTTTTTATCTCGGTTTTAGAAACAACCGAGGTAACATATCCGACGTAAAATCTTTAAAACATAATGTCTCCTTTTTGGTTCCATATAAAGCACTAAATAGAAGGAGTTGGGAATCGAACCTCAAACCATGAGCACTTATTTATGTTGGTTTTATTAAAAGCCGAGGTAATAATATTTATTATTTTTTAAAAGAAAACAAAGCGCTTCGTTCACATGTACACGCGGTTTTGTTTGATTTGTTGTGAAAGTCTCGTCATGAAAAGCGTTATTTGTTGTAGTGTCTCTCTTTCTCTTTTTCTATCTCTTTCTCCTTTTTTTCCTCTTCTCCTCCATTTCTCTTCTGTTCTCTTCTTCTTTTATTACTTACAAAATGAATGAGTGGTTAGTAAGATAGGAGGAAAATAAAATATATTGAGGAGATTTTATCTACTAGTGAGCAATTGACCAATTATTAACATTACCAAAATGTTTCATCTTTTACTAATTAATAAAAGTAAATATAATTGAATAAGAATTAAGCTCATATGAGTTCTCTAATTACTCTATTGGTCCCAAGTGACAAGTAATAAAGCATATAGGAACTCATTTGGTCTCAACTCATAAATGTTTGAGTGTTTAAGAGGATACGAGGTATTACATCCTCCTCCTTAAATAAAGTTATGTCCTCAAATTTTAAAGATGACCTGAAAGAGATAAGGATAAGCTTCTCGCATCTCAGACTCTAGCTTCCAAGTAGCTTCACCCAAATGTGATTCTTCCCACAAAACTTTAACAAGAGGAATCTCCTTGTTCCTTAATATCTTAGCCTCACAAACTACAATACAACTAGGCTGAGGTTTGAAATAAATACATGCTTCTACTTCAAGGGTATTTGGAAGAATAGGCTGAAAAGAGTAAAAAATGAATCGCGAAAGTTATGATATGGGTAAAACATCATGTAGGCCAGATAGATAGAGTGATAAAGCCAATATGTACGTTACTTCGTTGATCCTTTTAATAATATGATATGGTCCCACGTACCTTGGACTTAACTTCCGTCACTTGAAAGTCCCTTTCAATCTTAACCTTGGAGTAACCTTTAAGAATACATGGTCACCTTCCTCGAATTCTAAATGTCTTCGTCTATGATCTGCATAGCTATTTTGACGGGTTTTTTTTTCTCTCTTGAATCATCTTTATCTTTTCAGTGGTCTCTTGAATAATCTATGCTCCTAAAATTACTTCTTCACCAACCTCCGTTAAACAAAGATGTGTTATGCATCTCCTTCCATAAAAAGCCTCATACTTAACCATACCAATGCTCACAAGGTAAATATTATTATTATATGCAAATTTAATCAATGTTAAGAGATCATTCTAATTCCCTCCACTTTCAAGCACACATTCTCTTAGCATTTCTTCCAAGGTCTGTATCTTCCTCTCGGTTTGTCTGTGCGTTTGAGGATGATTAAAAGTACTCAAACATAGATTCAAACCCATGGCTTGTTGAAATGCTTCCCAAAACCTTGAAGTGAACTTTGGATCTCTACCAGACACAATACTAGAGGGAACACTATGTAACCTCATAATTTCTGCAATGCTCAATCTTGCAAGATGGATAGCTTTGTACGTGGTTTTCACGGCTAGAAAATGGGTTGACTTAGTTAACCGATCAACAATTACTCATATTAAGTCGTAACCACCATGAGTATGTGTTAATCCAACTGCAAAGTCCATAGAAATAATATCCCATTTCAACTCCACAACTTCTAGTGGTTGCAACAATCCACCTGGCTTTTTGTGCTCAATCTTTACTTGTTGGCATACCACACATTTAGACACATACTCAACAATACTTACATTCATACCAGACCACCAATAATCCTTCTTCAGGTCTTGGTACATCTTTGATGAACCTGGACAAATGGTAAACATACTTTTATGTGTCTCTTCTAGGACTGTCCTCCTCAATTTAGAATCCTTCAGAACACATACTCTTTGATTAAATAGAAGAACTTTATCCATATCTTGGGTAAAACCTGGTTGAGTCGATATTGCTTGCAATTCCTCATCCAAAAATTGACTTACGAATCCTTTCCCTCAATTCAGAAGTAGCATTCAAGTTTCCCATCATCACACCATTATAAGTTTAACACCCTCTAAAACCCCGCAATATATTACATCATAAATTAGAGTAGTTATAACATGCTTCTGAAACAAGGGTGTCACACATACTTTAAAATATACAAACATCTGTCATGCTCAATTAACACTCATTTAAACTCATGTTTCTCATGCATTTTCATATAGCATGTAGCCGCATAATAGTTCTCATTCAAACAATTAATAATTAAGTCTCATAATCAAATCCCTTTATTGAAATATCTTAGGCATAAAAGCTACTTCACCATATAACTCCAAATATTCAAAAACAATTAAAACAAAGTATACAAAGTATCTATTTAAAAACATGAATCGAAACGTTTCCCCAGTGTTACATGAACAGAGCATGACTCAACCAAACTATGAAAATAAAATAAGCTACTCCATCAGCTAGTCTCTTTCTAGAAGCAACTCTATTCTTCAATACCCGGGCAATGTCATATAAAACATCATTCCAACAAAAGAGTGAGAATTCTCATAATTATCGAAATCGTATAATAATACATAATGATGAACATACAAGTATACAATGATATTCTCACACTTCGTATGTTTTATAAATATTACATCACCCAACTTGTCATACGATCACAAGTTTTTCAATCAGGATTCACAATTTTACAGTTCACATCAGTTCCACACATTTCACACAATTTCATATTGCAAACATAGACACAATATGACTCAATGCAACTTAAATGTAATACTCAAACATGTGGTACCAATCTCTTGTTATCATTTTTAGATTTTTACTTTAAACCAAGTCCGCTCTCTAAATTGATAACATACCAAAAGGCTGTTCTCTAAGCTTTCAAACCCCTCTCTAGGTTTGGGATAAGTCACTAGCTCCCACAGAACTAACAAGCATTGTCTCTTAACAATAAATTATGCACGTGAAATTACAACAACCATATGCAATTAATACCATTCTCTAATCTTAACATCCATGCATATTGTTGTACCCCAAAATTTGCCTTCCTATTTTCTTCAAGACATTCTTCTAGGGTTCTTAGATGCTCAAGGATTCTCAAGAGTTGATCAGACAAACTCTCCTCCTAAGCAATGGGCCAACAACTAGGGTTTCATCTTGCACAAGGAAGAATGGGTTTCAGAGGTCTCAAATGGTTTTCATGGTTCATCATATGTCTTTAAAAGTGCTCATGTTAAGTTTCAAGTCTTACATCACAAGTTTGTTCAGTCAATGACTTAGATGATTGAAAGTCAACTTTATTGGATAAAAAGTCAACTATGGTCAACATACAGTCAAACTTCAAGATTTTTGGCCAACATCAACATTTTGAAATGATATTCATAATTTGATCAAGGGTTGATCATGATTCCTCAAGGAGAGTCCTCAAATCATCAAAAGTCAAAAGTTGTCAAACTAGGGTTTCCATAGGAGAAGTCAACCGAACTTTGACAAAGCATAACTTTCACATACTTCATCAATTTTCCCCCAACCAAAGCCCATTTTTAAGGAAATTCAATTATCTACAACTTTTTATTTGTATGCTCAAGTCCAAAAAGTGCTTCATTTGAAAGATATGAGCTAATACATTACAGGTCATTTCAAAAGTCAACAAAAAGACACTTTTTGTCAAGTCAACTTATATCAAGATAATGTCTTCAAGTGTAAAAATGATCAAAAGAGAGATTGTAGAGGACATCTTGCGATTTCTAAAAAGTCCAAGATCACCTTTAAAAGATAAAAAATGTGTAAGTTATGAGTTGCACAAGTTGGGAAATGTTTGAGAAATGCATGAAATCTCAATTGAGTAAATTTGTGATTTTGGGCTATTGAGCCTAAGTATTGGAATTAAAATGTGTTCATGATATGCTAGAGGACCCCTAAAACCATCCCGATATTTTTCATGATTTTTATTTCTTTTATTTGAATTTTTATTCATCTAAAGTAAATTAAATCAAAAACAAATATGTGACTAATGGGACTAGGCGCATGGTTGGATTTTTGGATCAATTGCCCAAAAGACACTTGAAAAACCTATCAAAAACGTGAAAGGCTAGTAGAGGAAAGAATATTGAGATTTTGGAAAGATTTCAAAAGCTTATGGAAAGAAATCATCACACTTTATCACATGGATTTCTTCCATATATGTTTGACCTAATATGGTCTTCTATATATACACAATCACCAACACTCTCAAAAACACCATTTTTTGTACATAATTTCTATAATTTTATATACACAAAATTCAACATAAAAACCTATTCTTTCCATTTTTTTCTCACGTAGACACTATTTATATTTTTCACTTTCTAATATACACTCACAAATCATTGTAAAGTACTAAAATTATATATATATATATATATATATATATATATATATATATATATATATATATATATATATATATATATATATATATATATATATATATATATATATATATATATATATATATATATATATATATATATATATATATATATATACTCTTCTTGTTTTACGCTAAAAAAATTATATAGTCTTTTTTAATTTGACTTATCAACTTCTTGTTTCATCCATTAATCCCATCTCTTTTCATGTCTAACAGTAAGAAATCAAAATTTTCATTCAAGTAAAAATAAACAATTCCACACAATATTACACCAAATCAAAAGCTGGAAAAACAGAAAGAAAATGAATAAGGTTTAGATCATTGTTATTGTTGTTATTGACTGCAGGTAGGAAAAGAAGAACAAGAAGATTCAAATCTCTAGCGATGAAAATTCACCCCACGGCCATCATCAACTCATAACTGACGAGTACTCGCATCGGAATCTTCACAACATCACGACATCCATCCCTCTGCGTTAACCCTCCGTCGACCGTCGTGGCCCTGCTTTGTCTCTACCATCAAGATCGGCGCTGGATATCATCACCATCGCCAAATCATACACAGCGCGAGCAAAAACCCGTAACCCATCTGCACAGTTCACCGCCACCGGGTGCAGTAACTTCCGACCGTTGCCCAACCGCGAGCGCGTCTCCGAACAACCATCATCAACGACCCATACTTATCGGCAATACTCCATCCTTGCCATCAGGAGTCCCCGATTTCAGATTCATTCCGAATCATCAAGGAGAAGGTTAGTTTTTGTTTGGTTTTTTTTTTGAGAGTTTTCAATTTTCTTGTTATTTTACTAATCTGGCAGAAATATTGAAAAAAAAGCTGAAGAGAAAATATAAAAAAGGGGTGGTGTTTAAGAGTTTTAGTACTGGATATTAACGTGTACGGGACTTTGTGTATATTTTTTTTCTTTTTTGTTATTTCAAACTGGAAGACATGTGTCATATCTCAATTTGCCACTTTTGCAAATTTGAAAGTCAAAATTCCCCATTGAGAATAGCAGTACCGCCCCTTCTTTATACAATCTCAAAACAAACATATTCATAAGTTGCTTATATTTTGGTTGAGACTTGATTCAATAACAGGCAACACAAACTGGCGCAGTGGTAAGATGAAAGGCTATGGAAGGAGAGGGTTTGGGTTTAAGTCCCATCCCATGCAATTTCTTTTTACTAACTCCTTTTCTTGTTTATTTCCATTAATTAATTTTGTTATAACTAGTAATTAGGGTTTCTTTGGCATATTTTTATCGTTAACTAATTAATTAATTAGAATTAGGTTTTAATTAATCAATTTTCTTAACCAATATCAAATTAGGTTTTTTTAGATTTCTTTAAAAAAATATCTTTCTTAATACTTATTTTCTACTTAAATTTCTTAGATCGAATGTATAAGCTTCACGTCAAGTTGTAATAGTTTTAGATTTAAATTTTACACGAGTTTTTACTAAATATTGTAACTGCTAAAGGTTGTAATAGATAAACTAGGGTTTACTGTTTTCCCCCCATTTTTATGGTTTGTACCCCATCTCCGAAGCATTGTAATAGCGTGAGTTTTATTTCCCGCACTTTACCGCTTTTCATTATAGTTATATTACTGTGCTAGTATCTAAGATTGTATTGGTAAGATTAAAACAAAACGCTAGAAAACCTAATCAAAGACAAATTCACTGGAAAAAAATCACCTTTCACACATGCACCTCTAGGGTAAATCCACTTGTTGCCTTTGGATGAAAAACAGTCATGTTCCTCGAACGTCAGACACTTTAACAAAGACCCTCGATTAAAATATCGTAGTCCCTCGATGACCCTTTGATGCTGTCTTCGGTAAACGATTTTAGTCTCTTACGACAAATTGCTAAAGCGCCCTACGAGTTACCTTTATGACTGTATGATGACTCGCGCATGTCCCTCAAACATCCAATGATAGAGCTTCCTACTAAATAATGGTAGGATAACACTATATAAAGGAAAAGGAAAATAACAAAATACTTTTTGAGTAGGTAGATAGTTCTTAATCGCTTGCTCGCAAACATTTCAAAACATTTTTCACCCAAACGCTTTTTTGAAATATTTTCAAAACAAACACTTTGTATGCATTCTCAACTGATACGAGAATCATTACAAAGTTGCTGAACTTAGGCATTTTCAAAATATTTTCAAATTTAAACATTCACAAAGAATTTTCAAAAGCGAGCTAGCGATTAAGAGCCCGTAGATAACTATGGATGAAAAGGGTGCTAACACCTTCCCTTTTCATAACCTACCCCCTTACTCAAAAATTATCAAAGGTCTTTCTTGTTCTTTTCACTATTTCCTTTATTGGATAAAAGAAAATTCGGTGGTGACTCTTGCTATCGGTAATATTTGCGATTTAACACAAAACCAAAAGTCAGTTCTCCCACCGTATTACAAATATCTTCAATAATTCACCATACTTGAATTACCACACATTTGCATATACAAACACATACTCATGAATTATTCACACACAATTCATATTCATCGCATCACTATAAAAAATCATCATAAAAACACATAGTAACAATGTACAATCATGTCATCTTGATTCAACATCCAATTACAAACATACATATATCACATAAACAAAGTTTCATGTTTAATCAAATAAGCATTCAAAATACATCCAACACATAGTTTTAATAATTCTAAAATTAATCAGAAATTATTATAAAACATAAGAATACATAATCTCATACCAAACTAATAAAATATTAAGTTTCATCTCCCAGGTCACGCTAAGTGTGCTCCCAATGCTGACTTACATAAGCTTTTGCGCTAAGCGTGATATCCGGTGCTAAGCGCACTCTGCGAGGTACAGAAAAATCTATTGTGATGACAACAACGAACCCATGCGATTCCTTGACCCCAACACATGTTTTAACATCCAATTTGTCATGATTTAAGCTACTAAAACATGTATTCAAAATATATTTATTAACACAAACATCAAAACATAATTACATACAAATTCCATAGATTCTCAATAAAAACCTAAGTAATTCAAAACATGGAAAACTAGAGAAATCAATCTTAATATATGGTACTACTATCATGCATTATCAACAATCCCAATAACCAAATGAAAACCCACCCTTACCTTGTTCTAGGTAGATTCTCTTAACTTTTGCGTTCTTGCCTTTTTTCCTCTTTCCCACTCTTCCTTTCTTTTCTCGTGAAAACCTTTTCCCTTCTCTTTTGCTAACTCTATTTATTATATTTTTATTAAACTCTTACAACACTAACTATAGTAACCACTAATAGGCTTACTAATACACCCCCTACATTTACTCGTCACATTATCACCAATTAGACCCAATTACCAATATTCTATCATTTTCCATATAACTATCACTAATGAAATAATTATTTACTAACCGACATCAAAACTAACTATAATTCCATGGTTATCCATATTAACCCGACTAACCCATCCCATACAACATACATCAAATAATCATTTATTAACAAAATTAAACAACTAATTAATTAATATAATATATATGAATAACTACTAAAATTGGGGTGTTACAATAAGTCCACACAAATTGGAGATTGAGATCCCAAAACTTTTCTAACAATTCACATTCCAACATCATCAACTTGCCCTTATGTATTTCCTTCCAACTTAATGCATCCATAACCTTATTTGCTTTACTTGGATGGTACTTTAGTTCAAAAGCAAAACACTCAAAGTACTCCATCCATCCTCTCTGCCGCAGGTTTAATTCTTTATGATCAAATAGCTACTTCAAGCTCTTGTAGTCACTAAACATGTCAAAATGTACTCCATACAAATAGTGATGCCACACCTTCAATGTAAACACCATAGCAGGTAACTCAAGGTCATGTATTAGATAGTTCTCCTCATGAGTTTTCACTTGATGAGAGGCATATGTCACAACTTAGACATTTTACATAAAAAATCCTCCTATTTCTTTATTGGAGGCATAACAAAACACTTCATAAGGCTTACTAGGATATAGAATGATGAAAACAAGTGTGGTAGTCAAACTTTATTTTAGATCCTGAAACTTTTTTCAACTTTGAATCCTAACTGAAAGAAATCTCTTTCCTCGTAAGTCGAATCATCGGTAAAGCCAATTGAGAAAACCCTTGGATAAACCTTTTATAGTAAACTGACAATCTTAAGAAACTCTTGACGTTATAAGCATTCTTTGGCATTTACCAATTAATGACTTATTTAAATTTGGATGGATCCACTACAACTCCTTGTGATATAACTTGATCAAGAAACTTCCCTTTGGTCATCCAGAATTCACACTTACTGAGCTTTGCAAAAATTTACTTCTCTTGCAGTACCGATAGAACAATATAAGGATGTCATCAATAAATATCATCACAAATTGCTCCAAACAAGGCTAGAATATTGGGTTCATATAATCCATAAAGACATCAGGGCATTCGTCACTCTGAATGGAATTACGAAGAATTCATAATGACCATATCGGGTTATAAATGCAGTCTTTGGTGTGTCAGAACTTTTAACTCGAATTTGATGATAGTCTGATTGCAAATTAATCTTCGAGAATACACAAAATCCTTTCAATTGATCCACCACACCATCTATACGAGGTAAGGGATATTTTTTCTTAATGGTAACCTTATTCAACTGACGACAGTCAACGCATAAGCACATTCCACCATCCTTCTTCTTCACTAACAATATTGGGGCTCCCCAAGGTGAGATACTCGGCCGAATAAAGTTCTTACTCAATAACTCTTCCAATTGGTTCTTCAATTCTCTAATCTCGAGCAATGACATATGATACGGAGCGACAAAAATTAGATTCATCCACGGTAACAGATCAATGGAGAATTCCACTTATCTCTCTATAGAAACATAAGTGACATCCTCGGGGAAAACTTTCGAAAATTCATAAACCACCATAACTGGCACAATTGTCAGTTATTCACTTGATTCCTTGGTGAGAATAAATAGGACATACTTTTCTTTCTTGAATAAACAATTTATCATGTCAACTGTACCTTCAAAAATAATAGTCATCACATCATTCAAAGTGGCTTCATCAGTCGCAATAAGAATTACTTTTTCATCGCAGCTGAAACAACCGGCGAAAAAATTATCGAGAGAAAATCAATGAAGTCAACATCAAGTATTTATTTATACCACAGGAAGGGAAAGGAAAATTATCGAAGAAAAACCTGAGAAGGGAGAAATCAAGGTCTTACGACCGAGAGATCGGGTAAGGGAGTCGATTATGCAAAGGGGAGGTATTAGCACCCCTCACGTCCGTGGTACCCCATGAGATCCATTCTTGTTGTCCTAATCAAAAGGGTGTGTTCATATATAAAGCTTACGAGCTAAATGGAAAAAAATGCATGTATGCAAAGTGTATATACAAAAAAAAAGCTTTATTAGTCGTGCCTACCTCGAACCCGAACCTTTGTGCCTACGTACCACCGCCCATGCAATTGGGATCAAGGCACTCGTAGTTCACCTCAAAAGTTTTGGTTGGTTACATTTTTTTATGGATAATATTGTGTTTGCATCCTTACGGTTAGGATTGAAATTCCTGATTGGGGTTGCAACTCATAAAGAGACTCATGCTCTGCCCCTCACACACTTAGCATTTCCAAGTTGTTCGAATTTAAAACAACACATCCTTATTGAAAAGGTTTTAAAGGAAAAAGCCTGAAGACAAAAAGGTTTGCATTGGTTGTTTTTTTTATTTGCGAAAGAGTTTTCAATTTGAACCGTAATAAAGTCCAAAAGTGAAAATAGAGCAAGATTCAATCTAAACGGATTCACTCTACCCCACAAGACTCAACTGCATACAATTTGCATCTTCCTTTATTAAGTGTTTTGAGTTTTCTTAAAGGAAGAAGTTTTTGTTTTAATAATGAAAAAAGAGGAATGAAAAAGTCTAAGGGAAACTATCTATCTCTATCCTTAATGTTATCATACAATGGTGGTCCTAAGGTTTGGATAGAAAAGGGAAACATCTACCTAAGTTAGCATGAATGGATTACAAACCTAATGTCTAACTCGAATCGGAAACGAAACGAGTGCATCCTAAGGGAACATGCAAAAGCCTAAGGGGAAAAGCACAAGCACAAGGTCAATAGAACAAAGTTGAACCAAAACCAAAACAAAAATCAAGTGCGAGCTAGAAACAATCAATGAATCCAATGGATTTCAAAGTGGGACTAAGGAACTCTTTCC